TTAAAACAATTAAATGCGGTCTGTTTAACATAAGATCGCTTTCCTCTAAAAGTCTACTAGTTAATGACTTGATTTGTGATAATCACATTGACTTGTTTTGCCTTACAGAAACCTGGCTGCAGCAAGAGGATTATGTGAGCATAAATGAGGCAACTCCTTCAAGCTATTTAAATTTTCACATCCCCAGAAGTTCTGGGCGAGGAGGAGGAGTAGCAACAATCTTCCAGTCTGACTTACTGATTACTCCCAAAACAGTTAATACCTACAACTCTTTTGAACATTTAACCCTTAATTTCCCTGATCCAAATTTCAAAGCAAGAAAACCTCTTCTTTTTGTAACTTTGTATCGTCCACCAGGTCCTTACTCTGAATTTTTAGATGAGTTTTCAGAGTTCCTTTCTGATTTGGTATTAAATACTGACAGGGTCATCATAGTGGGAGATTTTAACATCCATGCTGACATTGAAGGCGATAGCTTAAGAGCAGCCTTTAATGCTATCTTAGACACTATTGGCTTTGTTCAAAATGTGAATAGTCCCACACATTCTCATCTTCATACTTTGGATCTTGTGCTGACATACGGCATAGAATGTGAAGAAATAACAGTATTTCCTCACAACCCTGTCCTCTCTGACCACTTTCTAATAACCTTCAGGATTACTTTAACAGAGTTCTCCTCCCCCAAAAGAAGGTTCAATTTTAGTAGATCTTTATCAGATAGAGCAGTTATAAATTTTAAAGAATCTGCTTCACTTTCTCTCTTCTCTGTGTCGCTGAGCAGTGCTGCAGAGTGCAAAAGTTTAGCTTATTCCCCTTCACAGGTTGATGATTTTGTTGATGGGGTTGCTAGTTCTCTGCGTATTGCCTTAGACAACGCAGCTCCTTTGAAAATGAAAACCGTTAAAAATAGAAAGCTTGCTCCTTGGTTTAATGCAGAGCTGCGTACTTTGAAGCAAAATGCTAGGAAACTGGAGAGAAAATATCGCTCCACAGGCCTGCGAGAGTCCTTCCTAGTCTGGAAAAATGGTTTACTGCTGTATAAGAGGACCCTTTGTAAAGCAAGAGCAGCATACTTCTCCTCATTAATAGAGGAGAATAAGAATAATCCTAGATTTCTTTTTAATACAGTTGCCAAACTCACCCAGAGCCATAGCTCTGTTGAACCGTCCATTCCACCTGCTCTTAGCAGCAATGACTTTATGGGATTCTTTATAAATAAGATTGATCTTATTAAAAATAAGATCATAAGCACTCCTCTATCCGCGATTGTACCTGAGGTAGTCATGGAATCTGAACCGGGTTTAGACTGCTTTGATCCAGTTGAACTCTCTGAATTAGCAAAATTATTGTCTTCATCTAAGCCTTCAACTTGTATGTTAGATCCAGTTCCAACCAGGTTATTTAAGGAGGTATTCCCTTTGATCTCCTCCTCCATTTTAGATGTGATTAATCTATCTCTGTTACAGGGATATGTACCTAAAGCTTTTAAGGTTGCTGTAATTAAACCTCTGCTTAAGAAACCGTCTCTTGACCCAGATGACTTGGTCAATTATAGACCTATATCCAATCTTCCTTTCTTATCCAAAATTCTTGAGAAAGTAGTTGCCAAACAAGTTTGCGATCACTTCCACCATAATGAACTTTTTGAAGAGTTTCAGTCTGGCTTTAGAGCTCATCATAGCACTGAAACAGCTCTGGTGAAAGTCACTAATGATATTCTCATGGCCTCAGATAATGGACTTGTATCTGTGCTCGTCCTGTTGGATCTTAGTGCTGCGTTTGATACAGTTGACCATAATATTCTTTTAGAAAGACTTGAATATTTTGTTGGAATTAAAGGAACAGCACTAGACTGGTTTAAATCTTATCTATCTGATCGAATTCAGTTTGTTCATGTTAATGATAGATCTTCAACACGCTCAAAGGTTACCTGTGGAGTACCACAGGGATCAGTGCTAGGACCAATTCTCTTTACTTTATACATGCTCCCAATTGGTAGAATTATTAGACAGCATGGGATTAATTTCCACTGTTATGCTGATGATACCCAGCTATATCTGTCTATAAATCCAGATGAAGCTAACCCATTACATAGATTACAGGCATGTCTTGAAGACATAAAAACCTGGATGACTCTTAACTTTCTGCTTCTGAATGCAGACAAAACAGAAGTTATAGTCTTTGGACCAGAGTCTCTGAAAAAGAAACTGATTAGCCAGTCACTTCATTTGGATGGGATTAAACTGATTTCAGATAATAAAGTAAAAAATCTTGGTGTTGTTTTTGATCAGGACCTGTCATTTAAATCCCACATCAAAGAGGTTTCTAGAATTTCCTTCTTTCATCTGAGGAACATTGCAAAAATTAGAAATATCCTGTCCAGGGGTGATGCTGAGAAACTAGTCCATGCATTTGTTACTTCAAGGCTGGACTATTGTAATTCTTTACTATCAGGAAGTCCACAAACTGTAGTTAAAAGCCTTCAGCTGATCCAAAATGCTGCAGCCAGAGTTCTAATGAAAATTAAAAAGAGAGATCATATCTCTCCTATCCTGGCTTCTCTTCATTGGCTTCCTGTTAAATCCAGAATAGAATTTAAAATCCTCCTTCTCACATATAAAGCCTTAAATGGCCAAGCTCCATCTGATATCAGAGATCTGATTGTTCCTTATGTTCCTAACAGAGCACTTCGCTCTCAATCTGCAGGTTTACTAGTGGTTCCTAGAATTTCTAAAAGTAGAATGGGAGGCAGATCTTTTAGTTATCAGGCTCCTCTCCTGTGGAACCAACTACCAGTTTTAGTCCGTGAGGCAGACACCCTGTCTACTTTTAAGGCTAGGCTTAAAACTTTCATTTTTGATAAAGCTTATAGTTAGGGTGGCTCAGGTTATCCTGAGCTATCTCTATAGTTATGCTGCTATAGGCTTAGACTTTTGGAGGACATAGGGACCCCCATTTCATCATTCTGCTTCATTCTCTCTCTGTTCTCCTATTCTGCAGAATCTGTTAGTTCAATCTCTAACCTTCTGCTCTCTCTGCTTTTCCTCAGAGTAGCTTTGCCTCGTCTGTTCCTGTTTGGCTGTGACGTCATCCTGGAAAAAAATATCAGCTGTGCTGCTTCTATCAACACCCTTGTTAATAGATGTTGGAGATCGGCCTGTTTTCCAGTGTGGTCCTGTTTCTCTGACCGTGACTGAGTGGATGTGCTCTCTTCGTCCTCTGGCATGGGAGCTGCCTCGGAGCTCGTCTGCCTGGCTGTGTGTTTCCTGGACGGGGCCGCCTTTTACAGCTGCTTTTTGTATCTCTGCTTCTGTCTCCTTGAACCCCAGTCGGCCTCGGCAGATGGCCGCTCACACTGAGCCTGGTTCTGCTGGAGGTTTCTTCCTGTTAAAAGGGAGTTTTTCCTCTCCACTGTCGCTACAAGCATGCTTAGTGTGGGGGATTGTATTTGAGTCAATGAGTCAATGCAATCAACTGGTTTTCCTTAGATAGAAAACTTTGTATCAATTTGATCTGGTTGAACTGTAAAGTGCCTTGAGATGACATGTGTTGTGAATTTGGCGCTATATAAATAAACTGAATTGAATTGAAATCTAGGATTATTCTTATTCTCCTCTATTAATGAGAAGTATGCTGCTCTTGCTTTACAAAGGGTCCTCTTATACAGCAGTACAGTAGATGCTTTTATATCAGAGGGCGTTAATAAGTAATAATAAACAAGTTCAACATTCATCAATAATCAGAAAAACCGCTTTAATAAATGATTATAGTTTGATGGACATAATTCTACGCTCTGGTAGAAACAGGTGTCTGGAACTAAACCACTAAGAATCGTTTATAAATCCCCTCTCAGAGTGGTGGTGGCAGCATTATGCTGGGGACTTTTCAGGTGGAATGGAGGTTTATGCTTAAGCCGGGCATAAACTGGATTATTTTCAATCGTTGCACGCAGCTACAGCTCGCGATGCTTTGCTGTACAGTGCGAGTTCTCAGCTCCCCATGTTTGTTCTCACGCTGTGCGACCCGACGCTCTGATGCGATCTACCTGCTCATGTCTAAAAACCAGGTGGGACTCAGCTCCGCAGTGAGGTGGCGCTACTGGGACTCGTCTATCTGAAGCCAAACCAGTAGCAGAGGAACATGAAGCTCACTAGAGCGAAACGCGCTGCCTTGGATATTTGGGCGATTTAGTGCTGAAAGCCCTAAAAAGAAAAGGAGACGACGTATTTGGACAAAGACATGGCTGAGCTAACGTGGCTACTACGGTCTGGCAGTTTGACAGAAAGAACTCCATTTCACTCATTGCCCCCCCGCCATGCTGCTGGGTTTACATCTAAGAGGAAGAAGAAGAAGAATCCTTGTTTGCCCACTGAGAGATTTACCCACGACCACCTTAAGACGGCCGACTGAGTTTCAACCATGTTGGATTTTCTCCTGACCTACGATTCCTGATGGGGGGGGGTCGTTAGAGGCTGATCGCCCCCCCCTGGTCACTACACCACGCACCATCAGGCTGGAAGTTGGCCTGATAGGAAAATTCAAGCACGACTGGCGAATCGGCCTGAAAAGGGCAAAGAATCGTACAGTGTGCGTAATTATATGGAATCGTATTGAATTCACCAAAGAAAAAAAATTCAGACAGATTATCTCATGATTACGAGAAACTGATCTAGTATTTATGAGATAATCCGTCAGATTATTTTGTCCTTTGGTGTGAATGAAACACGGTTCCCTATAATCGTACGGCTTTATGTAGATAAACTGGAACAGCAGAAACCTTCTCAGAGCCAGGTCTGGATGAGCCTGGTCAGAGCTGATCTAGTATAGATCCGCAGCAGGTGGGATCCCTCAGCTCTGGGTCTTCAGTGTGAATCAGAGCAGATCTAGTATAGATCCGCAGCAGGTGGGATCCCTCAGCTCTGGGTCTTCAGTGTGATTCAGAGCAGATCTAAGCGGCTGTAGCTTCACCTTAACATCAGATCAACCAGACGTCAGGAGAATCAGGAGGTAACGATCGGGTTTATTGATGATGATGAAGATGATGAAGATGACAGGAAGCAGTGCGTCACATCCAGACGGTGATCTAAACATCTAAACTGTCAGAAACTCAACATTTAAATATTCTCCATCTTAAATTATTACAAACATTTACAAGCTGCTTTATTTTAAATGAAAGAAAAGTGAAAGTGTGAAGGCACACATCAAGTCACCACAGGAGCTTCAGTTTAAGGCAAACAAAAAAACATGTAAACAATATTTAAATAAAACTAATCTGAGGATTTTAAATTAACTGGCTGGAAGTGCGTCCCGGACTCAGACACGCCTCGCTCTCCTGCAGCGGGAGCCAGGAGAGCGAGGCGTGCTCCGTGTCCTTTCCTCCGGGTGACCCGGTTCTCTCACAGCGGATCGGCTCTGACGCCGCTGCGGGGGAAACGGCGTCTGAGGTCATCAGATCAGCTGCGCTGGAATAAAACAAGCGTGTAAAGTTCTGCTCCTTCATGCTAGAGAAGCGTTCTGGAAGGTTCTGCTCTAACTGGGTCAGTCAGGTCAGGGTTTCAGCTCGCCCCCCCGCCGATGGAACCGCCTGGGTCCGGTTCTGGGCTGAGCTCATAAGCTGAAGCTCCTGTGGTGCTGCTTGGAGAAGATCTGCTGCCGCTCCTTGGCGCCGGTTCTGCTCTCCATCAGCCTGTCCCGTTTGCTCATGGCGCCCCCCCCCGTCTCGCTCCTTGTCGCCTTCGTCCCCGGTCACGCTGCCCACGTCGCTGAGGTTCCCCAGATGTTCCACGGAGTCGTACTTCTCCAGGTCGGAGGCGATGGTCTGCAGGCTGAAGACGGACAGCGAGTCCGACCCGGCGCGCTCCTTGTACCGGTCCGCCTGCTCCAGCCCGCCCCTCCCAGCCGCGGCGGCGACGCCTCCCTCCTGAACTCTGCTGTCGGACTCGGCTCCCACAGGGGGGCTCCGCCCAGCGCAGGCCGGCCCCCCCTCGGCCGGGTCGGCCCCCCTCTGAGCGTGGATGGCCTCGCTGATCTCCTCCAGGTTCCTCAGAGCGATGGAGTAGCGGGTCTTCACCTTGGACACGTTCTGTTCCAGCTGCAGAACCTTGGTTTTGTGCTCCTGAAGTCGGACAGGAAACCAACAGGGTTCTGCTTCAATACGGACCCAGAACCGAACTCAGCTCGGCCCCAAAGACAAAAACCAGGAGCCGCTTTACCTCCAGGATGTGGTTGAGCTGAGACTTGAGCTCAAAGTAGGGTTTGGACTTCAGGATGACCCTCTTCAGGGACTTCTGCAGCGTCTGGACCCGAGCCTCCGCCTCCTGGCAGGCGTGCGTGACCCGCATGTGCTCCCTCTCGCTGCGGATGCGTTCCTCCTCCGCTTCGTTCACCTGCGGGACAGACGGTGAGGACATCTGGGTTGGAAGGTCTCCACAGAACGAAGCTTCAGGAACCAGCAGATCCTGAAGCTTCTGGGTTGATCTGAGACGACGTTTACCTTGGAGGTGGCGTGGTTGAGCATCTCCTGCCAGGTGGGATCCAGCGTGTTCTTCCCGTCGGCCATCAGGCCCTGCTCTGCCACGTACACCATCTCCCTGGCAGCGGTGTGCATAGAAACGGCCCGCTCGTAGCTCAGCGCCGCCTTCTGGGTCTCCTGCTGGGCCTGAGGGAAGCAGACAGACAGGAGGAAGAGCTGCTGATCACAGAGGAACCGAACCTTCAGGCCCGCTGAGCCAGAACAACATGTTTGCTTCTGAGATAGTTTCATGGATTATTCTAATAATGACATAAATATAAAACTGTTCTATGATGTAATGCTGACGGCCCTCAGTCCAGATCAGCAGCGATTCCTGGTTGCTAACCAACCAGGAAGAGAGAAGCATCTGAGAAAGTCTCCTGATCTCCACCTTCTAGCAGCAGATAATAGAGCTGGTCCTTCAGAACCTCCGACTCTCCTGACCCCTGCAGCCGGAGCCGTTCCTCTGAACAGGAGCTGGGATCCGGCAGGAAGCGGTGGCATGAGGGCCGCCTGATTCAGCAGCACTTAGCAAACGGAAGCCATTAAAGAGCAGAAGTATTGATCGGTACCTCCTTCGCCAGGCGTCGGGCCTCGTAGTACGGGCGGGCCTTTTCGATGCAGCTGCCGAGCTGAGAGCTCTGAGCGTTCAGCTTCCTGGCCGACTCCGTCAGGATCTTCCTGTAGGCAGACCTGGCGTCCTTCATGGGCGGAGCAGGAGAAGAAAAGCAGTTTGACTCTCAGAGCAGATCAGGTTACAGACAGAACATCTGCTTCAGTTTCCACCAAACATTCCTCTCACTGTTCAACTAAAGCCGTTTGTTAGGATGAAGCTGAGCTGCCTGATCAGCAGCATGGAGGAAACCAACAGACATGACGCTGGGTTTCAGATTTCATGCTTTTTTTTACCTTAAACTGGTTCAACAGTATCAGCTGTTGACTGGATTATAAACCTCCATAGTCTCAGATTGATCATATAATGAATTAGATTCCTAATTCTGGTCCAACTAAAAGGAAAACTGAGGGCAAATTTTCCTCAAACCTGGAATCATTTCGTTCCTACAGCAAACCTAAAACCGACAGTGGAAAACATTAATCACCTTCAGCTCATCACACCTGTGGTCTACCTGGGAAACAGATTAACGGATGTAGATATATCTGAAGTTTAGGGTTTAAGCCTGTTTTTATTGAACTGATTGGTGGTTTATGATGGTTTACTGGAATCCTGCTGTTAATATAAATAACTGTTAAACAATAAAAGCTTTTAATGGAGGAAAAACAAGACAATATATAAATAAAAGTAGTTCTAGCTCCATATGTGAGATTATAACAATGATAAACTACGTTAGATAATTGATAGATGAGTTAATTGCATTTGAATTAATTGTGGTTCTTGGTTAAGCCATAGAATAATCTAAGATGATCTAATGAGAATAATCTGAGCTTACATCCAGCTCCAGCTCCAGCCTGTTGATCTCTGCACTGGCTTCATTCAGCTGCTCCAACTCCTCCTGAATGCATCAAAAACAACAGCAGGGATTAAATGGGAGCTAATCTCAGCTACCTGGCGATCACAGCGGGATTAAGAGATTATTATGATTTACATTTAGGGCAATAATCACCAGCTAAAACAGGGAGGTAATCCAGAGATCTGAGGGGTGAACAGGAAGCCCAGAGGCCGCTGGTCTCACCTGAATCCGGGGGTCCAGCTCCTCCTCATAGGGGCTGTGGAGGTGCTCCACCGCGGCTCTTCCATGGCCGCTTTCATCGCTGCCGTCAATGAGCGCAGCTTCTGCTTTGGTTCCGCTGGTTTTGATAGAAATCACCCCTGAATCCTCCCCCTCATCACCGCCGGGGGTCTCCTCCCTCCAGTCCCCCACATCCGAGCCCCCAGAGCCAGCGGGGCTTTCTCGCAAGTCGCCCGGCTCCATCCCGGGGCCCGCGAAGACTGTGAGCCGTTAGACCCTTAGAAAGCGAGGCTGTCCGCCGAGCGGCGACCGAGAGGGAAGCGGAGGAGATCAGAGAACAGCACCGGCAGCGAAGAAAGAGCAGTTTGAAAAGGCGGCCATCTTTATTCCGCACAAACAGCAGCCCTTCGCCTAGCCTAGCTGCTATTAGCCTAGCCTAGCTGCTATTAGCCTAGCCTGGCTGTTTTTAGCCTAGCATAGCCTACCCTGCATATAAACCCAAAGCGTTAGTTAGCCTAGCCTGTTAGCCTGTTGCTATGCTACCGCCGCAGCGTAAAAGCCGTTTTTTCAGCGAACAGGGGAGAAGCAGCGGCGGCTGTCGGTGTCAAACAGACGGAGGTTCATGATAATAAACCTCTTCTGATCGACCCTTCCCTTCATCTCCTTCACCCCAAAGCCACGCCAGCTAGCCGCTTCATCCTCACATCACCACGGATCAAGTAAACAGTGCAGAGCCAGAGGCGGTTGACCCCACACGGCTTCCGTAGACACGACCACAGAATCCCACAGCAGCCATAATGCTGGGTTTACCGTGTGGTTTATAACCTAGGTTTATTTTTTAAAGTTGAATTAAAAAGTTTCATTATCCTAAACTGCGAGTTTGTTTCGGATTATTCTATTTACCTTCAAAGATTCCTTTTTATTAAAGTATATTTTTTAAGGTCAAAGTTTTTAATCTTTGGATGTTTTATTTCTAAAAACTATAAAACAAAGATAAAATAAAGATATAAAGAGAATCTGTGCCGTTCAATGATATGAGACTGAATCTAAACTTTAAAACCCACTAATACACAAATGATGCATCGTATTAAATAAGAAAAAAAAACTTATCTAATTAATGACACATAAACTTGATAAAAGTCCAATTTCTGGGAAATTTGGCTTTCAATTCTATTCAGTTTATTTCTATAGCTCCAATTCACATTATGTCATCTCAGGTCACTTTATAGATCCAGATCAACCAGATCATCCAGTCAGATTGATTCAAAGTTTTCTATCTAAGGAAAACCAGCTGATTGCATCGACTCATTGACTATTCAGCAATCCCTCACACTAAGCATGCTTGTAGCGACAGTGGAGAGGAAAAACTCCCTTTGAACAGGAAGAAACCTCCAGCAGAACCAGGCTCAGTGTGAGCGGCCATCTGCTGAGGCCCACTGGGGTTCAAGGAGACAGAAGCAGACATAGAAAAAGAAGCATAGATACAAAAGGCAACTGTCAACCAGCTCCACAGGCGGCCCCGTCCAGGAAAGCCAGTTAGCATAGCTTAGCTTTGTTCATCACTTTGTTAACGTAACCTCAAACATTTCCTCAGCAGCTGCTCTCATCTCCTCGGCCGCCCAAACTAAGGACTCGCTGTGGGAATCAAACACTGAGACGGTTTAATGAACTGGATGCTTGAGAGGAAATCTTAGCGACTAAATTGACATAATTTAATTAAAACCCCTGAAATGAAAAAATAAAACAATGGATTATAAGACACCTGCGATGTATATATGGAGAAGGTCATGGATAAGAAAACAGTTGGTGGTAATCTGGGTGTGAGATGGAGCTGGATTATGACCAAAACTAGAAACTCCACATTCTGTTTGTTTTTATTCAATAAAAACATACAATTCCCCACAGTGATTCCAAAGCAAGAAATATTCCACACAGAATCATCTGACAGACAGACTATAAGCAGGAAGAGCAGATTATTTCATGGATGATGGGGGGGGGTTGCTCATTCTCAGGATTTGCTCTGAAACTCAGTAAGGCAAAGTCGGCTGATGCATCGGATTCATGGATGTAAAGAAAACAATCAGGATCATAGAAAAATAGACATCTGGAGATCTGCCGTAGATCTATGTTCAGCTGCAGAACCTGAGTAGATTTGGCCGTTTCCTCATTAAGGCCGGAGATCTTTGGCGTGGAATGTGTGAGAAGGCCGCTGCTGTGGAACCTCAGCTCCACGTGGGGTCATACTGGCTCCATCCGGGAGGCGGAGCCAAGTGGATCCGCCGCCCTCGGTAGAAGAAGCTGACCACCCCTCTGTAGCCCGTCCTTGGAACCCCAGACTTCAGGTCGTCCATGATTCCCAGGTTTTTGGCCATGACCTTGAAGCTGTCCTTGGTGGAGAACTGAAGGCGGAAAGGCCCCGGGCCCTTCAGCTGGCCCTGCTTCACGTCTTCATACGTCACCGCAGGAGCGCTGTACACCTCCTGGCTGAAGCTCCTCCTGTAGGCCTCCTCCCTCAGGTAGGTCAGGTCCAGCTTGGTGAAAGGCACAAACTCAGAGTTCAGCTTGATGTATTTCAGGTATTTATCGTAGAACTGGCCCAGGCTGACCCCCTGCCGGCCGAAGGTCAACGTCCGGGAGATCTCCGGCCGTACGCAGGCGCGGCCCCGCCGCTGCTCCGGCTGACGCATCCAGTCGTCCCAGAAGGAGGCGGGCCACTTGGGCTCCAGCTCCTCCCAGGCCTCCCTGAGGAGCATCCAGCCCAGGCCGGGGAAGAAGTCGGTGCGGTAGAGGAGGTCGGCCCTGCCGGGGTCCACGTATCCGTCCCTGCCGTTATCATTCCAGGCTGACACGCACCACAGGCTGGGGTCGGATCTCAGGACCGGCAGCAGGGCCCGGAAATACTCAAAGAAGTCTGGCGCCACCTAGAGGAGAAAAATACTTCAAACATCAGAGAAAACAGGAAGCAGCGTGAGGGGCGGGGGTGGGCCGGCGTCCTGCAGCTTCTAGATTCATCCTCAGTCCAACTCATCCTCATCTTCATTCATCCTAACAGGGCAGCTCAGTCTCTCCAAGTTCCTGGGGGGCCCATAAAACTCTGTTTCCATCTATGTTTAATACAACTATTCCTTATTTCTGCTCATTAATTATGTTTTTGGCTAAAATGCCATCAGAACGCTGATAAAATTAAGTGTGTCTCAGCCCCCCCCCTTCAGTGTCCACCATATTGGATCAGTCCATTTGCTGCACATGTTCAGAAAGGTCCAAACAGACAGCAGCAAACCATTTGAAAACAAACCATGCAAAGAGCAGTGTTGCCAACTTAGCGCTTTAGTCGCTATATTTAGCCACTTTTCAGACCCCTCTAGCACTTTGATTTCTAAAAAGCTCCTAGCGCCAAATCTAGAGACTTTTTTCTGCTACTGGAGACTTTGGAGACAACATCTAAAAGCAGCGAACTCTGCTCTCCAGAGCGAGTAGATTGGTAACCCCGCCTCCTGCTCTCCTCTATCTTGTCTGCTGTCATGATTCATGCAGCTATTATTTCATCCAAATGAAAAATGGAGAACAGATAAGCAGATCATGGCTTGTCTACAGTGAAAAGAAGGACTGGGTTATTTACTTTGGCCTTTTTGGAAACACAGGAAGGAGCAATCAGCTAAGTGAGCTTAGTGCTTGGAAACAATCTTTCATTCCTTTAGAGACAGCATGAAAAGTCAGCTGAGTACAAAACATAGAGAGGAAAACAAGAAGAAAAGGGACAAGAAGAGAGGGACACAACCTAGAACAGATCATGGATGTCTATTCTATGAACATTTCTCTATCTGGAGAATGGGGCTGTTTATGTGTTCTCCATTCAGAGGGGCCCCACATTTCCTAAATCGGCCCCTGGGTCACAGTGACCATCTAAGACGTCCTAAGGACCTCCTCCCTTTGTCCTAATGGCTGCTTTGGACTGAGGACACACCTGAAGCTGCAGGATAGAGAAGCGTCCCCCCTGCCGTAGACTGAGGGACAGCAGGTACCTCCAGGTCGTCCTCCACGATCACCACAGACGAGTGGGACATGGTCCTGAAGACCTGGTTCAGGGCCCAGCGGTAGTGTCTGGAGATCTTGTAGTAACCCTGAAACTTCTTGTGCTCAGGACGGACGGGAATGTCGGAAAGGTCCGGCTGCTTCAGATGGGCCACCTTATCTCCATAGGAGCTGATGACGGCGGCGGTGTCGGCGTGCCCGCAGTCCTGGCTCACTATGATGGGGTGGAGCTCTGCGGAGGGCCGGTGCTGCAGCAGCTTGTCCAGGCAGCGCCTCACCGTGATGCGGTTACACGCCATCACCAGGATGGGAATGACGGGCTGGGCGGGGGCGCTGACCTTCGACCTCTTTCCGTCCGACGGCTTCCAGAGCGACCGGTGGCTCAGGATCTGGGACAGGATGGCCTTCTGCTTTTCCAGCTCCGATTCAAAGGACTCGGCGATACGGATCACGTCTCCCACCATGTCGCTGGTGGGCATCGGCACCGGATCCCCCCGCCGCTCGCCCCCCTGGCCGGATGGAGCTCTCCCCCACAGCAGCAGCACCAGCACGGCGTTCCAGGTGACAAACAGGAAGGTTCCGCATAGAATGAGGGAGCTTCTTTTCCGGAACATGGCCCAGATAAACAGGGAGCGGTCAGTGTCCTGGATTCAGACAAAAGGAACGGGATAGGGGAGGGTCCGTCTACGTCCTGGTTCATCACAGGCTCATGTGTTCTGGTTCAGCTGGTGGGGTTAGAATCCAGCATCTTCTCAGGATTAAACAGGAGTCATCCTGGATTAATAATCCTCAACCTGGAAAACCAGAGCAGAGCGACCATTAAAATCACTGAGGGCCCAGCGGGGCCTCATCCACCTCCCCTTATCGCCCGTAAGAAACAGGAACCCACGCCACACACCATGACCCACTCAGACCATGACCCACTCAGACCCTGACCCACTCACACCATGACCCACTCAGACCCACAGACTATGACCAACTCCATTCAATTCTATTCAGTTTATTTCTATAGCTCCAATTCACATCCTATCATCTCAGGTCACTTCGTAGATCCAGATCATCCAGATCAACTGGGAAACCAGCTGGGGCTAAAAGGCAGCAGGTCTTGCAGCAAGAAGGTTCTAGGTCCGAAAGAGCCGGTGTCTTTCTGCATGGAGTCTGCATGTTCTCCCTGAGCATGCGTGGGTTCTCTCCAGGTACTCCAGCTTCCTCCCACAGTCCAAAAACATGACTGTTAGGTTAACTGTCTCTAAATCCTCCTAAGGTGTGACTGAGTGTGAAAGGTTGTTTGTCTCTGCTGAGCTGAGCTGATTCTTCCAAACAGCTGAAGGTTCTGGATGTTCTGGATCTATACTGGAGTCCCCCCCCCACCTGCTGCTCCACAGACAGACCCATATTTCCACAGACGTGACAACCCACTCAGACTCAGCTCCACAGGTACTCAGACCCACTCTCTCACTCACTCAGCCTGCCGTGGGTCTCACCCTCCGCCTCCTGCCGGCTCACTCCCTCCCTGGCAGCCCGGTTCGGATGGACCTCAGCAGAGCGGGGCTGGAACCGGACCTCGCCGTGGTCGGATTTCCGCCCGTCGGAACAGCTTCGATCCGCTGATTTGGCGAGTTTTCTCCCACGAAGCAGAACCGTGACGCTGAGAGAAAGTAACACGACGACTTCCCTGTTAGAGAGTCCGGGCGGAAGTCCCGCCCCCTCCGTCACCTTCAGGAGTTATGCAACAGTTAGAAGGAACACCGGGTCCGAGTCTGAGCGAGACCAGAGATCCCGGGTTCTGGACCTGCAGCCACGGACCTTCTGCCTCCATGAAGGGGGGTCCCTCACTAGCTTCATTAGCCTAACTAGCTTCATTAACTTCCTTAGCCTAACTAGCTTATTTAGCTTCATTAGCTCCCCTACTGGAACTTCCTGTTTAATGTTCCTCCTCATCAGAATAAGTTTTCAGTTCTAGAAGGTTCTTCAGAAATGTTCTAAACATCAACATCTGCTGCTGTAGAGCATCATCCATCCATCCATCCATCATCCATCCATCCATCCATCATCCATCCATCCATCCATCATCCATCCAATCATCATCCATCCATCCATCATCCAACCATCATCCATCCATCATCCATTCATCATCCATCCATCATCCATCCATCCATCCATCCATCATCCATCCATCCATTCATCATCCATCCATCCATCATCCATCCATCCATCCATCCATCATCCATCCATCATCCATCCATCCATCATCCATCCATCCATCATCCATCCATCCATCATCCATCCATCATCCATCCATCCATCCATCATCCATCCAATCATCATCCATCCATCCATCATCCATCCATCCATCATCCATCCATCATCCATCCATCCATCCATCATCCATCCATCCATCATCCATCCATTCATCATCCATCCATCCATCATCCAACCATCATCCATCCATCCATCATCCATCCATTCATCATCCATCCATTCATCATCCATCCATCATCCATCCATCCATCCATCATCCATCCATCCATCATCCATCCATCATCCATCCATCCATCATCCATCCATCCATCATCCATCCATCATCCATCCATTCATCATCCATCCATCCATCATCCATCCATCATCCATCCATTCATCATCCATCCATCCATCATCCATCCATCATCCATCCATCCATCATCCATCCATTCATCATCCATCCATCCATCATCCATCCATCATCCATCCATCCATCCATCATCCATCCATCATCCATCCATCCATCCATCCATCATCCATCCATCCATCATCCATCCATTCATCATCCATCCATCATCCATCCATCCATCCATCATCATCCATCCATCATCCATCCATTATCCATCCAATGATCATCCATCCATTCATCATCCATCCATCCAACCATCATCCATCCATCCATCCATCATCATCCATCCATCCATCATCATCCATCCATCATCATCCATCCAATCATCCATCCATCCATCATCATCCATCCATCATCATCCATCCATCATCATCCATCCATCCATCCATCATCCATCCATCATCATCCATCCATCCATCCATCCATCCATCATCCATCCATCATCCATCATCATCCATCCATCATCCTCATCCATCATCCATCCATCCATCATCCATCCATCATCCATCCATCATCCATCCATCCAATCATCATCCATCCATCATATCCATCCATCCATCCATCATCCATCCATCATCCATCATCCATCCATCCATCCATCATCCATCCATCCATCATCCATCCATCCATCATCATCCATCCATCATCCATCCATCCATCCATCCATCATCCATCATCATCCATCCATCCATCCATCCATCCATCATCCATCATCCATCCATCATCATCCATCATCCATCCATCCATCCATCCATCATCCATCCATCCATCATCCAATCATCATCCATCCATCATCATCCATCCATCCATCATCCATCCATTCATCATCCATCCATCATCCATCCATTATCCATCCATCCATCATCCATCCATCATCCATCCATCATCCAATCATCATCCAACCATCATCCATCCATCATCCAATCATCATCCATCCATTCATCATCCATCCATCCATCATCCATCCATCCATCATCAACCATCATCCATCCATCATCCAATCATCATCCAACATCATCATCCATCCATCCATCATCCATCCATCCATCCAATCATCATCCATCCATTCATCCATCCATCATCCATCCATCCATCCATCCATCATCATCATCCATCATCCATCCATCCATCCAATCATCATCCATCATCTCATCATCCATCCATCCATCATCCTCCATCCATCCATCATCCATCCATCATCCATCATCATCCAATCTCATCCAACATCATCATCCATCATCCATCCATCCATCATCCATCCATTCATCATCCATCCATCATCCATCCATCATCCATCCATCCATCATCATCCATCCATCATCCATCCATCCATCCATCCATCATCCATCCATCCATCCATCCATCCAATCATCATCCATCCATCATCATCATCCATCCATCATCCATCCATCCATCATCATCCATCATCCATCCATCCATCCATCCATCATCCAACCATCATCCATCCATCCATCCATCATCATCCATCATCATCCATCATCATCCATCCATCCATCCATCCATCATCATCCATCCATTCCATCCATCCATCATCCATCCATCCATCCATCCATCATCATCATCCATCATCCATCCATCCATCCATCATCATCCATCCATCATCATCCATCCATCCATCATCCATCCATCATCCATCCATTCCATCCATCCATCATCCATCCATCATCCATCCATCATCCATCCATCCATTCATCCATCATCCATCCATCCATCCATCATCCATCCATCATCCATCCATCCATCCAATCATCATCCATCCAATCATCATCCATCATCCATCCATCAATCCATCCAATCATCATCCATCCATCATCCATCCAATCATCATCCATCCATCCATCATCATCCATCCATCATCCATCCATCATCCATCCATCATCCATCCAATCATCATCCATCCATCCATCATCATCCATCCATCATCCATCCATCCATCCATCCAATCATCATCCATCCATTCATCATCCATCCATCATCCATCCATTATCCATCCATCCATCATCCAACCATCCTCCATCCATCATCCAATCATCATCCAACCATCATACATCCATCCAATGATCATCCATCCAACCATCATCCATCCATCCATCCATCATCCATCCATCATCCATCCATCCATCCATCATCCAATCATCATCCAACCATAATCCATCCATCCAATCATCATCCATCCATCATCCATCCATCCATCATCCATCCATCATCATCCATCCATCCATCCATCCATCATCCATCCATCCATCCATCCATCATCATCCATCATCATCCATCATCATCCATCCATCCATCATCCATCCATCATCATCCATCCATCCATCCATCCATCATCATCCATCCATCATCCATCCATCCATCCATCCATCATCATCCATCCATCATCCATCCATCATCATCCATCCATCCATCATCATCCATCCATCATCCATCCATCCATCCAATCATCATCCATCCATTCATCATCCATCCATCATCCATCCATTATCCATCCATCCATCATCCATCCATCCTCCATCCATCATCCATCCATCATCCAACCATCATCCATCCATCCATCATCATCCATCCATCATCCATCCATCCATCCATCATCCATCCATCATCCATCCATCATCCATCCATCATCCAATCATCATCCATCCATCCATCCATCCATCATCATCCATCCATCATCCATCCATCATCATCCATCATCCATCCATCCATCCATCCATCATCATCCATCCATTCATCATCCATCCATCCATCATCCATCCATCCATCATCCAACCATCATCCATCCATCATCCAATCATCATCCAACATCATCATCCATCATCCATCCATCCATCATCCATCCAACCATCATCCATCCATCATCCAATCATCATCCAACATCATCATCCATCATCCATCCATCCATCATCCATCCAATCATCATCCATCCATCATCCATCCATCATCCATCCATCATCCATCCATCCATCATCATCCATCATCCATCCATCCATCCAATCATGATCCATCCATCCATCCATCCATCCAATCATCATCCATCCATTCATCATCCATCCATCATCCATCCATTCATCATCCATCCATCATCCATCCATCCATCCATCCATCATCCATCCATCCATCATCCAATCATCATCCAACCATCATCCATCCATCATCCATCCATCATCCATCCATCCATCCATCCATCATCCATCCATCCATCCATCATCCATCCATCCATCCATCCATCATCCATCATCATCCATCCATCCATCATCCATCCATCATCCATCCATCCATCCAATCCATCATCCATCCATCCATCATCCATCCATCATCCATCATCCATCATCCATCCATCATCCATCCATCCATCCATCCATCATCCATCATCCATCCATCCATCATCATCCATCCATCCATCCATCCAATCATCATCCATCCATCATCCATCCATCCATCCATCCATATCCATCCATCCATCATCCATCCATCATCCATCCATCATCCATCATCATCCATCCATCATCCATCCATCCATCCATCCATCCATCCATCATCCATCCATCCATCATCATCCATCATCCATCCATCCATCATCATCCATCCATCATCCATCCATCCATCCATCCATCATCCATCCATCATCCATCCATCATCCATCCATCCATGATTCATCCATCCATCATCATCCATCCATCCATCATCCATCCATCATCCATCCATCCATCCATCCATCCAATCATCATCCATCCATCATCATCCATCATCCATCCATCCATCCATCCAATCATCATCCATCCATCATCCATCCATCATCATCCATCCATCATCCATCCAATCATCATCCATCCATCCATCATCATCCATCCATCATCCATCATCCATCCATCCAATCATCATCCATCCATCATCCATCCATCATCATCCATCCATCCATCATCATCCATCCATCATCCATCCATCCATCCATCCATCATCATCCATCCATTCATCATCCATCCATCATCCATCCATTATCCATCCATCCATCATCCAACCATCCTCCATCCATCATCCAATCATCATCCAACCATCATACATCCATCCAATGATCATCCATCCAACCATCATCCATCCATCCATCCATCCATCCATCCATCCATCCATCATCCATCCATCATCCATCCATCCATCCATCATCCATCATCATCCATCCATCATCCATCCATCCAATCATCATCCATCCATCATCCATCCATCCATCATCCATCCATCCATCATCCATCCATCCATCCATCCATCATCATCCATCCATCATCCATCATCCATCCATCCATCCATCATCCATCCATCCATCATCCATCCATCCATCCATCATCATCCATCCATCCATCCATCATCCATCCATCATCCATCCATCCATCCATCCATCCATCATCCATCCATCCATCCATCATCATCCATCCATTATCCATCCATCCATCATCCATCCATCATCCATCCATCATCCAATCATCATCCAACCATCATACATCCATCAATGATCATCCATCCAACCATCATCCATCCATCCATCATCCATCCATCCATCCAATCATCATCCATCCATTCATCATCCATCCATCATCCATCCATTATCCATCCATCCATCATCCAACCATCATCCATCCATCATCCAATCATCATCCAACCATCATACATCCATTCAATGATCATCCATCCATCCATCATCCATCCATCCATCCATCATCCATCCATCCATCCAACCATCATCCATCATCCATCCATCCATCATCCATCCATCATCCATCCATCATCATCCATCCATCCATCATCCATCCATCATCCATCCATCCATCATCCATCCATTCATCATCCATCCATCCATCCATCCATCATCCATCCATCATCCATCCATCATCCATCATCCATCCATTCATCATCCATCCATCCATCCATCATCCATCCATCATCCAACCATCATCCATCCATCATCCAATCATCATCCAAAGTCATCATCCATCCATCCATCATCCATCCATCATCCATCCATTCATCATCCATCCATTATCCATCCATCCATCATCCAACCATCATCCATCCATCATCCAATCATCATCCAACCATCATCCATCCATCATCCAATCATCATCCATCCATCATCATCCATCCATCCTTCCATCATCCCATATATCCATCCATCCATCATCCAACCATCATCATTCCTTCATCCAATCATCAATCCAACATCATCATCCATCCATCCATCATCATCCATCAATCCAACCATCATCCATCCATCATCCAATCATCATCCAACATCATCATCCATCCATCCATCACCCATCCATCCATCCATTCCATCCATCCATCATCATCCATCATCCATCCCATCCATTCCCATCCAATCATCATCACCCATTCATCATCCATCCATCCATCATCCATCCATCCATCATCCAACCATCATCCATCCCATCATCCAAATCATCATCCAACACTCAATCATCATCCTTCCATCCATCCATGGATCCATCCAATCACACCATCCATCATCCATACCATCATCCATCCATCCTTCATCATCCTCATCACGCATCATCCAATCAGATCCATCCATCCATGCCATCCTAATCATGATACCATCATTCATCAACCATCCATCATCCATCCATTCTTAAAATGAAATATTAATTAATTGAATTAATGAATTCTTATGATAATTAAAGAGAATTGATGTGGGGGGGGGGGGGGGGAAAAAAATAGGGTTGGGTTTTGGAGGATTAAGGATGAATGAAGGTGTAATGAATAATATGAATGAATGGTGAATTGAATGAAAGATGAAATGATATGAATTAATGATGAATGAATGAATTGTGATGAATGAATAATGATGAATGAATGATGAATTAATGGATTATGAATTAATGATGAATGAATGTGAATGAATGAAGATATGATTATGAATTAATGATAATTAATGAATTGTTATTCATGAATTAATTATGAATGATTATTAATGATTGATGATAAATAATTTATTATGAAATAATATTCCTCCATAATTCATCCAACCTCATCAACCTTCTTCCATTCAAATACAACCACATCCAACTTCAAATGATCATCCACAAACCATTCATCTCATCCATCATCCATCCAATCATCATCCATCCATCCATCCATCATCCATCCATTATCCATCCATCCATCATCCAACCATCATCCAACCATCATCCATCCATCCAATGATCATCCATCCAACCATCATCCATCCATCCATCATCCATCCATCATCCATCCATTCATCATCCATCCATTATCCATCCATCCATCATCCAACCATCATCCATCCATCATCCAATCATCATCCAACCATCATCCATCCATCATCCAATCATCATCCATCCATTCATCATCCATCCATCCATCATCCATCCATCCATCCATCATCCAACCATCATCCATCCATCATCCAATCATCATCCAACATCATCATCCATCCATCCATCATCCATCCATCATCCAACCATCATCCATCCATCATCCAATCATCATCCAACATCATCATCCATCCATCCATCATCCATCCATCCATCCATCCATCCATCATCATCCATCATCCATCCATCCATCCATCCAATCATCATCCACCCATTCATCATCCATCCATCCATCATCCATCCATCCATCATCCAACCATCATCCATCCATCATCCAATCATCATCCAACATCATCATCCATCATCCATCCATCCATCATCCATCCAATCATCATCCATCCATCATCCATCCATCATCCATCCATCCATCATCATCCATCATCCATCCATCCATCCAATCATGATCCATCCATCCATCCATCCAATCATCATCCATCCATTCATCATCCATCCATCATCCATCCATTCATCATCCATCCATCATCCATCCATCCATCCATCCATCATCCATCCATCCATCATCCAATCATCATCCAACCATCATCCATCCATTATCCATCCATCCATCATCCATCCATTATCCATCCATCCATCATCCAATCATCATCCAACCATCATCCATCCATCCAATGATCATCCATCCAACCATCATCCATCCATCATCCATCCATTCATCATCCATCCATCATCCATCCATTATCCATCCATCCATCATCCAATCATCATCCAACCATCATCCATCCATCCAATGATCATCCATCCAACCATCATCCATCCATCATCCATCCATTCATCATCCATCCATCATCCATCCATCCATCATCCAACCATCATCCATCCATCATCCAATCATCATCCAACCATCATCCATCCATCCAATGATCATCCATCCAACCATCATCCATCCATCATCCATCCAATCATCATCCATCCATCCATCCATCATCCATCCATTATCCATCCATCCATCATCCAACCATCATCCAACCATCATCCATCCATCCAATGATCATCCATCCAACCATCATCCATCCATCCATCATCCATCCATCATCCATCCATCCATCCAATCATCATCCATCCAATCATCATCCATACATCCATCCATCCAATCATCATCCATCCATTCATCATCCATCCATCATCCATCCATTATCCATCCATCCATCATCCAACCATCATCCATCCATCATCCAATCATCATCCAACCATCATCCATCCATCCAATGATCATCCATCCAACCATCATCCATCCATCCATCATCCATCCATCATCCATCCAATCATCATCCATCCATTCATCATCCATCCATCATCCATCCATTATCCATCCATCCATCATCCAACCATCATCCATCCATCATCCATCCATCATCCATCCATCATCCATCCAATCATCATCCATCCATTCATCATCCATCCATCATCCATCCATTATCCATCCATCCATCATCCAACCATCATCCATCCATCATCCAATCATCATCCAACCATCATCCATCCATCCAATGATCATCCATCCAACCATCATCCATCCAATGATCATCCATCCATCATCCATCCATCCATCCATCCATCCAATCATCATCCATCATCCATCCATCCATCCATTCAATCATCATCCATCCATCCATCATCCATCCATCCATCATCCATCCATCCATCATGTTTTATCCCCCATTGTTTGTTTTAATAAATCTTTACCTTTTCAGCATTAAATCTTCTTCCACTCCTTCCTCCTCGTATTAAATATCTTCTCTTTTCTGTTGAAAACAAAATGAAATGTTTACTTAGTGAAGATAAGAAAATGTTTTAATGCATTAAAGCATTGAAGTTCGTTCCGCCTCCTGCTGATCGTTGTGACCTTTATTCTCAATAACCTGATCAAACATCTGAGCTGAACTCTGGACTCCAAGCAGGAAGCTCGGATAGTTAATGGTTTACTCTTTATTTCTAAGTTATAACAGCTTCAATAAACTGTAACTTGGTGAAAACCAACAGTCTGCACGACATTGAAAACATCTATTCTATTCTAATCTCTATTCTATCTACGGTTTTCCTGGTTCAAAGTTAGGTCCCTCTGAAATCGGCCAAGATGGTTCCAAAAAATGAATATATTTCTCCTTCTGTGGCTCAAAGTGACCCTTTAAGATGTTTATAGGATCAGATCAACTTTAGTAAGTTAAGGGAAACAAGACAATTTAGTTTCATGTTTATTCAGATGTCTGTTGATAAACCAGCTTCTGGGCTGAGATCAAACCAGGAACTGAAGAAGAAAGATGGAGGATCCATCCAGAGGTTGAACATCTGGTCACAGAGTCAGACAGCCTGAGGAGGAGAGGTTCCTGAACTGATTAAAGACCCGGAGCCTCGATATATGGCCCCAAAAACATTTAGTGAGAACGTTAAACTAACCCGGCAGCTCAGGAGGAGCAGAGGATCAGTTCCAGCTGAGAGCATCTTAAACCACTGAGCTAGTTTCTATACGCTAACTCAGCTCTGCTCAGGTTTAATCAGATTAGGAGGGTTGAATGATCTGTGGGTGAGTCGTCTGATGCTCTTTGGTTTTGTTATCAGTGGATCTTCTTTACTGCTGAGTCACTGTTTGTTTCACTGGCAGGCAGGAAGAGTTGGACGGTTTTGCAATGCAAAAACTTCCCAGGTCTGCAGAACAAAGCTGCATCTGTTCTCCATTCATTCTTCACTGGACATGAAACTTTCTGCCAAACAATCATCTAACTGCTTTCCATAAGCTCTAAAACAGCAACGGCTCTGAGTGAAGCTGTTTCTGGGGGCCGTTTAACGGCGGGGGCAACCAAAGGTCCACGGGCCGGCACCAGAACCCAGCCGGTTGGACGAAGGAAATGAGGCGGAGCTCCTCCTTCTGACTGAGGGGCCACGGCTGCAGAGGTCCCCCAAGCATGGGAGGATCTAGCGGAGGTCAAGAGGGGCCGGTGCCCCCGTACTGAAAACATTAAGCAAAAATGGAAATGTATTTTTTTCTTGAAATAGGTGTAATTACCTTGATTTAAGCCGGTAGGTGAGATGATTGACAGGTAGATCACAATGATTCACGTTTCAAACAAAGAAAAACACCTAATATCTTATATTTGGTCCATAATATGCAATTAGCTAGCCAGCTGTTAGCCATCTATTAGCAAAGTTAGCCAGCTGTTAACAAGGTTATCCAGCTGTTAATGAGGTTAGCCATCTATTAGCAAAGTTAGCCATCTATTAGCAAAGTTAGCCAGCTGTTAATAAGGTTATCCAGCTGTTAATGAGGTTAGCCATCTATTAGCAAAGTTAGCCAGCTGCTGGCGAGGTTAGCCAGCTGTTAGCGAGGTTAGCCAGCTGTTAGCGAGGTTAGCCAGCTGTAATTGAGGTTAGCCATCTATTAGCAAAGTTAGCCAGCTGCTGGCGAGGTTAGCCAGCTGTTAGCGAGGTTAGCCAGCTGTTAGCGAGGTTAGCCAGCTGTAATTGAGGTTAGCCATCTATTAGCAAAGTTAGCCAGCTGTTAACAAGGTTATCCAGCTGTTAATGAGGTTAGCCATCTATTAGCAAAGTTAGCCATCTATTAGCAAAGTTAGCCAGCTGTTAATAAGGTTATCCAGCTGTTAATGAGGTTAGCCATCTATTAGCAAAGTTAGCCAGCTGCTGGCGAGGTTAGCCAGCTGTTAGCGAGGTTAGCCAGCTGTTAGCGAGGTTAGCCAGCTGTAATTGAGGTTAGCCATCTATTAGCAAAGTTAGCCAGCTGCTGGCGAGGTTAGCCAGCTGTTAACGAGGTTAGCCATCTATTAGCAAAATTAGCCAGCTGTTAAGGAGGTTAGCCAGCTGTTAACGAGGTTAGTCAGTTGTTAATGAGGTTAGCCAGTTGTTAATGAGGTTTGCCAGCTGTTAACGAGGTTAGCCAGTTGTTAGCGAGGTTAGCCAGCTGTAATTGAGGTTAGCCATCTATTAGCAAAGTTAGCCAGCTGTTAACAAGGTTATCCAGCTGTTAATGAGGTTAGCCATCTATTAGCAAAGTTAGCCATCTATTAGCAAAGTTAGCCAGCTGTTAATAAGGTTATCCAGCTGTTAATGAGGTTAGCCATCTATTAGCAAAGTTAGCCAGCTGCTGGCGAGGTTAGCCAGCTGTTAGCGAGGTTAGCCAGCTGTTAGCGAGGTTAGCCAGCTGTAATTGAGGTTAGCCATCTATTAGCAAAGTTAGCCAGCTGCTGGCGAGGTTAGCCAGCTGTTAACGAGGTTAGCCATCTATTAGCAAAGTTAGCCAGCTGCTGGCGAGGTTAGCCAGCTGTTAACGAGGTTAGCCATCTATTAGCAAAATTAGCCAGCTGTTAAGGAGGTTAGCCAGCTGTTAACGAGGTTAGTCAGTTGTTAATGAGGTTAGCCAGTTGTTAATGAGGTTTGCCAGCTGTTAACGAGGTTAGCCAGTTGTTAACGAGGTTAGCCAGTTGTTAATGAGGTTTGCCAGCTGTTAACGAGGTTAGCCAGTTGTTAACGAGGTTAGCCAGTTGTTAATGAGGTTTGCCAGTTGTTAACGAGGTTAGCCAGTTGTTAATGAGGTTTGCCAGCTGTTAACGAGGTTAGCCAGCTATTAGCCACCCAGAAGCAGAACTGGATCCGGCCCAGGAGGTTAGACCCAGTCAGCCCCCATCAGCTGACCCTGACCCAGCAGCAGAACAGAAGCTGGTAACTGGAGGTCTTTAGCTAAAACCAGGACCAGATAAAGATGTTTCCAGAACTCTGAACCTTTTCTGTGTTGAACACAATAAAGACGCCGTTTGGACTTTCATTAACATTTTACTCGCTTTCTGCTGGATGGTCCAGAAACAATCTGGTTCTGCTGGGGCTCAGTGGGGTCAGTGGGGGCTCAGTGGGGTAGCTGGGGGTTTAGTGGGGTCTGGGGGGCTCAGTGGGGTCGCTGGGGGTTTAGTGGGGTCTGGGGGGCTCAGAGGGGTCGGTCAGTGGGGTCGTTCAGTGGGGGCTCAGTGGGGTCGGTGGGGGGTCACCGCTCCTCCAGAACCGCAGCTGTGTTCTGGTGGCTCCTGGGTCTCTGGTTCCTCCTGCAGGAGGAGAACAGAACCATTTCACTCTGTGGATTGAAGGACCTTCATTCAGAAGCACCTCCAGAAGCTCACCTGCAGCGGGGAGGTGCTGAGGTTCTCCTTCACTCGGGGGGTGAAGACGATGCAGAGCTTCAGGAGAACAGCAGGAGATCTTGGCTCAGCAGCTGATCTTCCAGGAGGAACCAGGAGGAGGATCCTGGAGAAGTTCTGTTTCTGCAGGAAGGAGGACAGAGGCAGCAGCCGCTGCAGCGCCGCCTTCAGGCCGCTGGGGGCGCCACACCGCGGCCGCTCACTAAGTCTGAAAATAAAGACCTTCTGTTTTTTCTCTGCCGGAGCTCCTTCTCCTCCTGAGGACAGGCCGGGGAGCCTCCGCGAGGAGCCCCGCGAGGAGCCGCTGCGCTCCGCCGGAGCGTCCCGGAGCGCAGCGGCTGCAGGGCCGAGGCTGCAGGCCGAGGCAGGCCGCTTGGTCTGCGGGTTCCTGGTCCAGATGGTCCCCCTGCAGCGGAGCACGGCGGACAGAGCCGAGGCGGAGGGGGTGGAGGACATGGCGAGGTGGAGCAGAAGGTCACATGGGGAGAGGAAGTCTGCAGATCTCAGAGAGGGCTGGAGGAGGGGGGGTCTTCAAGGAGAAGATCTGGGTCAAAGGTCATCATGGTGGAAAACACCCTGAGGTGCAGCAGGAAAGGAAAGGTTGGTGGAAGGAAGAACTGTTTGAAAGCAGAACCTCCAGAACCTCCATGGACTGATCCAGAACCTCCATGGACTGATCCAGAACCTCAATAGACTGATCCAGAACCTCCATGAACTGATCCAGACACCAAAGGGACCAACAACCCCCCCAACACACACACACAGGTTTCAGACCCCAGCAGACGGGTCGGAGTAGCTTTTATAGAGATGGGGGCCCACAGGAGGCCTCTGAGGGCCCCCATCCTCTCCTGCTGCTCAGGGTTCTGCCCACTGATCTCTATTTATTGCCCGTTGGTAGTACGGGGTTAAAGTGAAGCCACCGGCCGCCATATTGGTACTCCCTAGTTAGAGTGGTCAGAATGTAAACAATCCTTGAGCTGCAGCATCAAACAACCATCATGTTCTCATTTTAAGGAGGAATTTAAAATAAAGATAAATTCATCGTTTTGACAGACTGGCTGTTTCAGAGCATCAGTAGATAAACTTTAACTTAGAATAAATAAATCGGCCAATCACATCGCAGTCATTAGGAAGTCTATAAATCATCTAATATAACAGATTATACAATCCATCACAATAAAATGAATGTGTTAAAGGAGCAGAATAATAGAGATGAACATGTGATATAAATGAATTGATGACATTTATATGTAATTATATCTTACATATAAAAGATTTTAAATCAAGGCTGAATTACCAGTCCATGTATTTTAATGCTTTAGTATTTTCCTATTTACAAAGATGATTATATAAATACAATGAAAAAAATGACATCATCCACTGAATAAAGAATGACTACGTTAACATTTCCCAGTGAATTTCTATTTCCTCTATTTTCTAACGTTAGACCCAATGTCAGCGTCTAACTCAGTCAATGACTTCCAGTCAGTCTGAGATAGCCAGACTAAAGTTAGTCTGCAGACTAAACTATAGGATCCATCGGCTATAGATGGATTTATTCTGACTGGGAAATGACCAGTGGAACGTCTTCCTGCAGACAGAAAACTGCTGGTTTCTGCAGCCAGATGCTGCATTTTTATGCTGCGTCTCTGTGAGAGTGGGGAGTACCAAGATGGTGGACGATGGCTTCACTCTTCAGGCCAAGAGCCACTTTCGACACTTTCTGAATTATGATCAGGAAAATATCATTAATTCTGTTTAAACAGTAAAAGTTTTCTATTAAAGATCAGCTGATTAACCTTTAATCTGTATAATCTAGATTAATGCTAATCCGAGTTTATCTGGATGATCTACATGTGTTGCTGTTTTATCATCATCATCGTTTATTCTTCTGACTCATAAATAAAATAAACCATTCGATCCTTTAAGGCCTTTATTTTATTTTTATATATATTTATATTTTTAATGAAGACATGTACAGGTTACAATAATCCAAAAATAATATCAGATTATTGCTGCAAAAAAAACATTTGTTACTGAGCAGGTGAATCAGAACATCTACAAAGGAAACATGGTTTCCATGGAAGCTGTCCTCTGATTGGCCGACGGCCGTCTTCCTCTGATTGGCTGATGGCCCCCTTCCTCCGATTGGCCTACGGCCGCCTTCCTCCGATTGGCCTACGGCCGCCTTCCTCCGATTGGCCTACGGCCGCCTTCCTCCGATTGGCCTACGGCCGCCTTCCTCCGATTGGCCTACGGCCGCCTTCCTCCGATTGGCCTACGGCCGTCATGTTCACAGCTCAGATTAGAGTCCAGGGAACCGGTCGGATCCAGATCCATTTGTCTAAAAGATCAAGGAGCCGCTGCTCGGGAATCTGGTTCTGATCCGGTTCCTCGGACCAGAGTTCTATGGACTCCGGCTGACGTAGAAAAACATGAATAGAAGCGTCTGTTTACAAATATCTACAGTCTGAACAGAACCGGGAGGCCCGTCTGGACCGGTCCAAACCGCTTCCAGCGATCTTTGTCCCGTAGTTCTGAGCTGGTTCCGGTCCAGCGGGCCCCTCAGGGGCCTCCCCCCGGGGGGCTGGTGGAGTTGCCAGGGTGGGCGGGGCCGTGGTACAGGGCCACATTGGGGATGATGACGAAGGCCAGGATGCCGACCAGCATCAGCGCCACGGTGATGGTGATGATGGACGCCACCACCACGTAGTAGCACTGGTCCGAGCGGAACAGGCGGCGGACACGCCCCCTCATCCTGTTGGGGGGCCGTCCCACATCCACCACCGCAGCCGGCGGCGCCCCCGGCTCGGCAGCGTCGGGCTCGGCTGGCGAGCGGGGCTTGTTGAGCGGCAGGGCGGGGGGCTTGCCGCCGGGCGGCGGGTGCTTCAGCATCAGCTTCCCTTTGCTGCGCTTGAAGCGGACGGACAGCGCCCGCCGCATGTCCGCCGGCAGCTTGCCGATGATGTCCTGGTTGGTGCCGAGGCGCGGCAGGTCCCGCCCCTTGCGCAGCTCGGTGGGAAGGCGGCAGACGGGGCAGGTCAGGCTCTTGATCTCGGCGGAGCTGACGTTGATGCGGGCGAGGCACTCCAGGCAGAAGGTGTGGCCGCACGCCAGCAGCTTCGGCGTCTTGAAGACGTTGTCGTAGGAGCAGAAGCATACGGCGCACTCCGTGTCCTCCACCACGTCCACGGGCCGGTTCTGGACGCGCTCCACCTCCTTCCCATTCCGACGGCGGGTCTCCTCGCTGCGTCCCCGCCGGTCGCCGTGGTGACGGTCCCGCTCCCTCCTCCTGCTGCTGCGGTCAGCCCGCTCCGAGTCGCTGCTGCGGGACCGCCGGGCCTTGGTGGCCCTGCGGTTCTGCGGGGGCGGGTTGGGTTTGACGTTCTGAGGCGGCGCGGTGCCGCGGCCACCTTCCTCGTGACCGCTCATGGCGGAGGTCCGGGCGGGTCCGAGTCTAACAGCAGCTGTGGAGGAGAGAGAAGCTGGGTCAGTCAGAACCAAGCGGGCCTTTCTCCTCAGAACCAGCAGAACCACTGACCTGATGAGGGAAGGAGGTCCGATCAGAACCGATCCGGCTGCTCAGGTCATCCGGAACCATCAGAAAGCCTCATTCCAGAGGAGCGAAGGGAACGGTGTGATCCGCAGCGCAGAGCGGCGGCTGTGTTCTGCTGGCTGAGCTCAGCCTCCTGCTGGTTCCTCCTGGTCGGACCGGTTCTACCGGTCCCTCCTCCTCCTCCTCCTGTTTCTGTCTGCGGGTGGAGAGAAAACATCCAGGTCTTGCAGGACGGAAACCAGGTGTTCTCAGAGCGAACGCAGCACAGCCCTTCCTGCAGCAGGTGACCCGGCGGAGGGAAAATTCCACTGCAGCTGCAGGAAGCAGCAGGACTCGGACCTGCAGCTCATACCTGTCATTCCTCACCGCCCGGACCGGACCAGGGAACCGGTTCCAGCCCCAAACAGCGACCCGCAGCGCGCCGCCAGAGCTGCTGAAAATTAACCCGTCAGCTTCCTGGTGAGGCTGCGGCATAAAGTCGACCTTTGACCTTTAGAAATGAAACGCTCAGACCATCAGAAAACTTTATTCCAGCCAAAAACAGACGGTGAGCGAAATATTCAGACCAGCAGAGCCGCTCTGCTCCCTCCAACAGTCTGAGGGGCGTTCAGGAGCGACGGGAACGTTCACAGTCCGTTAGGCCCGTTAACCCGCTCTGAGTCCGACCCGAGTCCTTAGGTCCCACTAGGCCCGTCACAAAAGGACCTGAGCCGAGTCCCGGTCCGTCCTGGGCCCGGTCCGTCCTGGGCCCGGTCCGTCCTGGGCCCGGTCCGTCCTGGGCCCGGTCCGTCCTGGGCCCGGTCCGTCCTCAGCCCAGCTCCTCCCTGGTCTTGCCCTGTTTTCGGGGCATCTTCTTGCTGCTGCTGTCCTCCAGCTCCTTGTTCTTGTAGTAGTGCGGCGCCACCTCCAGCAGCCAGCCGCTGTCGATCTCAATCACCTAGAAAACAAAAGCAGAGATTCAGGCTGAAAGCAGCCGGTCTGACTGGATCAGAACCTTCTAGAACCGGATCAACTCTGACCCTCCTCACTGATTAAAGGCCACGTTTCTTTTCATAAACTGATCTCTAAACCAAACTTCCATAATTCCTGATGCTTGTCAACCTTTTTCCTTCCACCTAACTTTCCATGGAGCTGCTGCTTGTTTGACTCGGACCTGCCGTCCAGGTCGAGTGAAATGATTCCCAGAACTAACAGCAGCTGAACAAACTGGATCCTTTGTTGTTGTGATTCTGTGACGCATCAAAGGTTGGTGTTCTATAAACAGCAACATCGCAGGCTGAGGAGCGTTCGCCACTGAGGAGCGTTCGCCACTGACAGGTCAGCATGGGGGGGGGGGGCGTCCAGGTGACCTGATAACCCCTGATGATGGAGACTCAGGTTACAGGATGACCTGCAGCCCAAACATGTAACCAAAGTGATTCAGCGGTTTCCCTCTGGCCCCGCCTCTAAGGCGTGTTGTTGACATGACAAACATTCCTGCGGCGCGGCGGCGTGCAGCCAGCTCACCTGTCTCATGAACTCCTTGGTGGTGAAGACCAGCTCGTGGTAGATGAGCCAGCGCGGCTGCTCCTCGAACAGCGAGCTGTTTGGGTGGACGTACACCGTCTGCTGGTGCTTCACCGTCTTATAGCCGCCTTTGCTGAGCCGCGCCGTGTGGTAGAAATACCCGGCCGTCACCGCCTGCCGTGGATCAGAACCAGAACCCGGTTAAACACAGAGAAACAGAATGAGCTTAGATCTGAGCAGGAGGGCAAGCAGTGAGTCAGCAGCTGGAGAACCGGTCTGTCTGCTTATTGTCTGATCCTAAGCCTGCAGAGAGACTGAGCAAATATTGGCTGTTTGACACCACAGAAATGGATTCAGGAATCCCACCCTGGGTCTGAAGTCCAGCAGGTTCCTGGACCTGGTTCTAGTTCCTGGACCTGGACCTAGTTCCTGGACCTGGTTCTAGTTCCTGGACCTGGTTCCGATTTCAGGACCTGGACCTGGTTCCGATTTCAGGACCTGGACCTGGTTCCGATTTCAGGACCTGGACCTGGTTCCGATTTCAGGACCTGGTCCTGGTTCCTGGACCTGTTTCTAGTTCCTGGACCTGTTTCCTAGACCTGGTTCTAGTTCCTGGACCTGGTTCCGATTTCAGGACCTGGACCTGGTTCCGATTTCAGGACCTGGACCTGGTTCCGATTTCAGGACCTGGTCCTGGTTCCTGGACCTGTTTCTAGTTCCTGGACCTGTTTCCTAGACCTGGTTCTAGTTCCTGGACCTGGCTCCGATTTCAGGACCTGGACCTGGCTCCGATTTCAGGACCTGGACCTGGTTCCGATTTCAGGACCTGGACCTGGTTCCGATTTCAGGACCTGGACCTGGTTCCGATTTCAGGACCTGGTTCTGGTTCCTAGTTCCTGGACCTGTTTCTAGTTCCTGGACCTGGTTCTGATTACTGGTTCCTGGACCTGGTTCCTAGACCTGGTTCTGATTACTGGTTCCTGGACCTGGTTCCGGTTCCTGGACCTGGTTCTGATTTCCGGTTCCTGGACCTGGTTCTGATTTCGGTTTCCTGGACCTGGTTCTGATTTCGGGTTCCTGGACCTGGTTCTGGTTCCTGGACCTAGTTCCTGGACCTGGTTCTAGTTCTAGTTCCTGGACCTGGTTCTGATTACTGGTTCCTGGACCTGGTTCTAGTTCTAGTTCCTGGACCTGGTTCTGATTACTGGTTCCTGGACCCGGTTCTGATTTCTGGACCTGGAACTGGTTCCTGGACCTGGTTCTAATTCCTGGACCTGGTTCTGATTTCAGGACCCGGTTCTGGTTCCTAGTTCCTGGACCTGTTTCTAGTTCCTGGACCTGGTTCTGATTACTGGTTCCTGGACCTGGTTCCTAGACCTGGTTCTGATTACTGGTTCCTGGACCTGGTTCCGGTTCCTGGACCTGGTTCTGATTTCCGGTTCCTGGACCTGGTTCTGATTTCGGTTTCCTGGACCTGGTTCTGATTTCGGGTTCCTGGACCTGGTTCTGGTTCCTGGACCTAGTTCCTGGACCTGGTTCTAGTTCTAGTTCCTGGACCTGGTTCTGATTACTGGTTCCTGGACCTGGTTCTAGTTCTAGTTCCTGGACCTGGTTCCGATTTCAGGACCTGGACCTGGTTCCGATTTCAGGACCTGGACCTGGTTCCGATTTCAGGACCTGGTCCTGGTTCCTGGACCTGTTTCTAGTTCCTGGACCTGTTTCCTAGACCTGGTTCTAGTTCCTGGACCTGGTTCCGATTTCAGGACCTGGACCTGGTTCCGATTTCAGGACCTGGACCTGGTTCCGATTTCAGGACCTGGACCTGGTTCCGATTTCAGGACCTGGACCTGGTTCCGATTTCAGGACCTGACCTGTTCCGATTTCAGGACCTGGTCCTGGACCTGTTTCTAGTTCCTGGACCTGTTTCCTAGACCTGGTTCTAGTTCCTGGACCTGGTTCCGATTTCAGGACCTGGACCTGGTTCCGATTTCAGGACCTGGACCTGGTTCTGATTTCGGTTTCCTGGACCTGGTTCTGATTTCGGGTTCCTGGACCTGGTTCTGGTTCCTGGACCTAGTTCCTGGACCTGGTTCTAGTTCTAGTTCCTGGACCTGGTTCTGATTACTGGTTCCTGGACCTGGTTCTAGTTCTAGTTCCTGGACCTGGTTCTGATTACTGGTTCCTGGACCCGGTTCTGATTTCTGGACCTGGAACTGGTTCCTGGACCTGGTTCTAATTCCTGGACCTGGTTCTGATTTCAGGACCCGGTTCTGGTTCCTAGTTCCTGGACCTGTTTCTAGTTCCTGGACCTGGTTCTGATTACTGGTTCCTGGACCTGGTTCCTAGACCTGGTTCTGATTACTGGTTCCTGGACCTGGTTCCGGTTCCTGGACCTGGTTCTGATTTCCGGTTCCTGGACCTGGTTCTGATTTCGGTTTCCTGGACCTGGTTCTGATTTCGGGTTCCTGGACCTGGTTCTGGTTCCTGGACCTAGTTCCTGGACCTGGTTCTAGTTCTAGTTCCTGGACCTGGTTCTGATTACTGGTTCCTGGACCTGGTTCTAGTTCTAGTTCCTGGACCTGGTTCCGATTTCAGGACCTGGACCTGGTTCCGATTTCAGGACCTGGACCTGGTTCCTGGACCTGTTTCTAGTTCCTGGACCTGTTTCCTAGACCTGGTTCTAGTTCCTGGACCTGGTTCCGATTTCAGGACCTGGACCTGGTTCCGATTTCAGGACCTGGACCTGGTTCCGATTTCAGGACCTGGTCCTGGACCTGTTTCTAGTTCCTGGACCTGTTTCCTAGACCTGGTTCTAGTTCCTGGACCTGGCTCCGATTTCAGGACCTGGACCTGGTTCCGATTTCAGGACCTGGACCTGGTTCCGATTTCAGGACCTGGACCTGGTTCCGATTTCAGGACCTGGTTCTGGTTCCTAGTTCCTGGACCTGTTTCTAGTTCCTGGACCTGGTTCTGATTACTGGTTCCTGGACCTGGTTCCTAGACCTGGTTCTGATTACTGGTTCCTGGACCTGGTTCCGGTTCCTGGACCTGGTTCTGATTTCCGGTTCCTGGACCTGGTTCTGATTTCGGTTTCCTGGACCTGGTTCTGATTTCGGGTTCCTGGACCTGGTTCTGGTTCCTGGACCTAGTTCCTGGACCTGGTTCTAGTTCCTGGACCTGGTTCTGATTACTGGTTCCTGGACCTGGTTCTGATTACTGGTTCCTGGACCTGGTTCTGATTACTGGTTCCTGGACCCGGTTCTGATTTCTGGACCTGGAACTGGTTCCTGGACCTGGTTCTAATTCCTGGACCTGGTTCTGATTTCAGGACCCGGTTCTGGTTCCTAGTTCCTGGACCTGTTTCTAGTTCCTGGACCTGGTTCTGATTACTGGTTCCTGGACCTGGTTCCTAGACCTGGTTCTGATTACTGGTTCCTGGACCTGGTTCCGGTTCCTGGACCTGGTTCTGATTTCCGGTTCCTGGACCTGGTTCTGATTTCGGTTTCCTGGACCTGGTTCTGATTTCGGGTTCCTGGACCTGGTTCTGGTTCCTGGACCTAGTTCCTGGACCTGGTTCTAGTTCTAGTTCCTGGACCTGGTTCTGATTACTGGTTCCTGGACCTGGTTCTAGTTCTAGTTCTAGTTCCTGGACCTGGTTCTGATTACTGGTTCCTGGACCCGGTTCTGATTTCTGGACCTGGAACTGGTTCCTGGACCTGGTTCTAATTCCTGGACCTGGTTCTGATTTCAGGACCCGGTTCTGGTTCCTGGACCTGGTTCTGGTTCCTGGACCGGGCTGCAGTTCTCCTCAGCGCCTACCTGGGATCCAAACGGGTCCACTCACCTTCCGGATGGGGACGTTGTCCCCGTCGCAGCTGACCACCTCCACCTCGATGCGCTCCATCAGCCCCTCCAGCTGGTCCCGGACATCCCGCGCTCTCCTCATGGAGCGGAACTGGATGAAGTTCTCGTAGCACCACTGCGTGGAAAAGCCGCTCTCCACCCACTGAGGACGAGAACAGCAGTGAGCCCGGACCCACGGAAGCAGCCAGAACCCAGAACCGGGTCCCAGTTACACCACTGCTTCCTGTGTTCCAGGGGGCGGCGCTGCCCACTGACTCCGCCCCCTCTGTGGATCTACCTGCGTGTAGACGTTGAGCAGAACCAGGTGGTCCCCCCCCGGTACCACGAAGTTCATCCGGGCGTTGTCGGCGTGCACCACCTTGTCTTTGGGTCGGTAGAAAATGGAGTTGTTGACGGACAGCATGGCGGCGATGGTCAGCACCTCCTCTGAGCATTTATACCTGGCGGAGAGAGGAGGACCGTCAGGCAGGGGAACGCCATGACGCCGCTTCTGGATCAGGAAGGTTCTGGAACACTCACTGCTCAGAGGCCAGGATCATTTTACTCAGCATGGGGTCCACCGGCAGCTCAGCCATCCGTCGCCCCAACTGGAGACGAAGAACAGAAACATCAGGAGGACATGGAGGAAGTGGGCGGAGCCACATCCTCTGACACAGTTCAGTCTAAAGGCTAATTTATACTTTGAAACCAGGTGGTCTGCGTGTGTCGCAGTGAACGCAGATATGCCCCGCCCCCTTACGCAGACACTCTGCTGCACCCCTCCCAAACTGTAGCTGACCGCAGACAGGAGGCCTCTGATTGGTCAATTCTCCATCCGCTCTGCTCTATGCGTATTTCCTGTTTGGTTCCTTACCGGCTTGTTTCGTTTGTCTGACCGCCATGTTGAAAACGACTGGTGAAGAAGGAGGTGCGTGAGAACGCTGCGGGAGGAGAACCAGGCCTAAACCTCTCCTTAGTTTCAGGATCAAATCCGTGTCCCTCCAGCCGTTCCTTGACCCCCCTCACTGAGAACAGCGGTCTGCCGTGTCCCTGCAGTAGTGACTAGTTCACCATCAGAGCACACGTCCAAACGTCCAGGAGACACGGAGACACGTTTGGAGGAGAAACAGAGGAGCAGGGCTGCTGTCTAACATGTCCTGGGGTGGACCATGATGAACCCGTTCTACTCGCAGTGATCTACATTTATTATCTTCATCCTCATAGAAGAGCCGCATGGCGGTCTGGGTTGGCCCTCTGGTGGAGGCAGCCATGCAGGCCGCCCAACATGGAGCCTTTCACCAGGAAGAGGGAAACCTTCTGGGATTCGGTTACTTTTTGGATTTAACCCTTTCCTCCACAGTGATCAATGCAGCGTACAGCTGTTTAAACATGTTTATAAATATAAATATATATCATTGCAATGTTAAAAGCTCAGCTAAACCAAGATGGCCGACAGGCTGGGAAAAATACCAACCACCTCGACTGTTTCAGTTTCTACATGTAGAGGAACCAGCTGGACTAGAACTACATAAATGCATAAATGCAGTGATTTTACTGTATAAAATGCATAAAGTTCACTTGAGTGAAGAAAATAATTTCCTTTATAGATTAAAATGAACAAAGATTTTTCTTTTCCCTATTAAGAAATCCACCGTCCCCTTAACATTCCTTAAGGGAATGAGCCACCAAAACAAGATCCTCCCCCGCCTCCAGTTAAACAAACATGACGTTCACGACCGACCCCCGCTCAAAAAGTAAGTTACCCATGGACCGCTCTTAGCGCTCACCTTCCCCCAATTTTCCTGCAACTCCTCAGCGCGTCCGACAGAAGATCAGCTCCCAACCCTGGCCTTTAAGGAATTTTATTGAAGCAAAGAAAGGGCCAAATTTTTTTCCCCTGACCATTTTTTTCCCCCTTCCAGTAAGAAAAATTGAACCTGGGGCCCCCCCGGAGGGGGACCCACCGGGCGTTTTTTTGATTCAATGATCGCTGAAAACGCAACAAACGTGGAATCCGTCCTCATTAAACTGCTAGTTTAAAATTCTCAGACAGCTTCCCCCCAGACTGGTGAAACGCGCTCAAGAAACAGGCACCTCACAACCCCAAGCGCTACCCCAATTACCATGTAAGCGCACCCCCGCCCTTGCCTATTTAATTAATCCCATTTTTTTAACTAACTTAAATTATACAAAATACTAATGTTTTAACCATAAATTTTTTTATAAATCCAAACATTTTCTTTTAATTTGGACCAACTCGAGCGCAGCAACAATGGAGCGCAATCCCCTCGCGCTCCGGGCTCACATTGAAAACTAGAAAAACCGCTTCTTTCCTAAAAACGCTCCCCACCTGGAAAAAAACCGCAGAGAATACGAAACACAAAGCCCCCAAAAAGCTGGACCTTAGTGAGTTACTCCCCTAAGATGAGTTATTTCCAGAGCCTTCCAAGGAGCGTAGAGCTGCTCCTAAAGCCAAAACACCAGCGTCCCCTCCAGTGGGGGATGGGGGGGTCCATGAAAAGTTCCCACAAGAGTTGAGACAGAATCAGAAAATCATTGATATCCCTGCCAAGACTAAGTAAGGAAAGCGGAAGCGGTAGCCGCCCCAGCCCGCAGACCCTCAACAGGGAAACCTAGGAACATCTCCTCTGCAGCTGTAGGAAAAAAAACATGCCCGTGCAGCAACCAAACCAAGGGAGCCTAAAAAGAAACAATCCTCCCCCCCCCTCCCCCTGCCAGCAAGCCTGGGGACATGCCCCCGGCAGACCCAACAAAAATGGAGCCTAGAACATCCACTCCCTCTACAGCTGGAAGGGACCATGCCCCGGGCAGAAACCCAAACATGGGGCGAGTGCCTAGAACATCTCCTCTGCCAAGCTGGATGAACAATGGCTCCGCAGACCCAACAATGTGAAAGCCTAGAACATCCTTTCCCTCTAATACAGGCCTTGGAAGGGACCCATGCCGCAGGGACAAGCATGGGAGCCTGAGAACATCCTCCCTCATGTGGCAAGCTGGGAAGAGAACAAAGGGCCCCCGGCAGAACCACCATGGGAGCCCTAGAACCATCCATCCCGTCTGGCAAGCTGGACAAGGAAAACCAAGCCCCGCAAGAACACAACATGGAAAGCCTAGGTAAACCAGACTCCCTCTACAGCTGGGAGGAAACAATGCCCCGCCAGAACCAACAGGAGCCTAGAAACATCTCCTCTGCCAAAGCAAGGAGGACATGCCACGTGCAGACCAAACATGGGGAAGCCCACTAGAAACATCCCCATCCTCCTACAGCTGGAAGGAGACATGCCCGCAGACCATAACTATTGGAGCCCCCTAGAACACTCCTCATAAAACAAGCTGGTAAAGGTACAGACCCCCGCAGATCCCAACAGGAAGCCCCTAAAACCAACCTCCGACCGTGCAGCCTGGAGGACATGCCATGGCCCGCCAGACCAACCATGGGATGGGCCTCTAGAAACCATCCTCCCCTCCTGCAAGTGGAAGGACCATGCCACGGTGCATACCACAATGAAAGCCCTAGATGGAACCATCTACCCTCTGCAGCTGTGAGGACCCCAATGCCCCGCAGACCAAACAATGGAGCCTAGAACATCCTCCCTCTGTCATCTTGGGAGGACCAAGTGGCCGCAGGACCCCAACCCTATGGAAGGCCCCCCCTATGAAACATCTACCCTCTGCAAGCTGGAGGACATGCCGCAAGAAACCCAACAATGGAGCCCTAATAGGAACCATCTCCCCTCTAACAGCTGAGGAAGGAAACATTGCCACGCAGACCAAACCATGGGAAGGCCCTAAGAAACATACCCTTCCCACTCCCTGACCATGCTTTGGAGGTAAACATCGCCCTGCAAGAGCACAAACCCCCCAACCACTGGAAAAGTCCCACCGAAAACAAGAAAACGTCTCCTCCTGGCAACGCTGGGAGGCACATGCCCCCGCGAGAAACCCAAACACAACCGGAGACCCTAGAAACAATCTCCCCATCAGCAGGCTGGGAGGAACAAAATGGACCAGCCAGAACCCCAACCAATGGGAGCCCCCTAGAAAAAAACATCTCCCTCCTGCAAAGACCTGGAGGAACAATGCCCCCGCCAAAAGAACCCAAACCATGGAGAAGGCCCTAGGAAACAATACTTCCTCCTGCAAGCTGGAAGGACAATGCCCGACAGGACACCAAACCATGGAGCACCTAAGGAACCATCTCCTTCTTACAATGCTGTAGGAAATACATGCCGCAAGGAACCAAACAATGTGAGCCCTAGAACCTCTTCCTCTGCAAGCACAGGAAAGGACAGCCCGCAAGCGAACCAACCATGGGAGCCTAGAGACATCATCGACCTCTGGCCAAGCATTTTGGGCGGAGGGATACCATGCCCGCAAGAACACCAACAAATGGAGCCCTCTAGAAACTTCCTCCCTACGCAGCTTGGAGGACATGCACCCCCGAGCAGACCCCAAACATGCGGAGCCTCAGAACTGAATCCTCCTCGCGGTCAGCATGCTGAAGAGGGAACCAATTGCCCGCAAAGCGACACCCAACAATGGAGAGTCCTTTCAGAACATCCTCCCTCTACAGCATGGAAAAGGAACAAATGCGGGCCCCCGCGCGACCAGAACCAACAAAGGGAGCCTAACTAAGAAACATACTCCCTCCCTAACAGCTGGAGGAACATGGGCCGCAATAGCCTCCAAAACCCAAAACCAATGGAGGCCTAGAAACAAATCCTCCTCTCTGCAGCTTGGAGGACCATGCTCGGCCCGCCAGAGACCCAACATGGAGCCCTAGAAATACATTCTTCCCTCTGCAAGCGGGAAGGACATGCCGCCCGCGCAAGACCTAACAATGAGGAGCCTAAGAACATCCTCCCTCTCCCAGCCTTTGGGGAAGGAACAATGCCCGCAAGACCATACATGGATGACCAACTAGAACATCTCCCCTATTACAGCCTTGTGAGGACCCATTGGCCCCGCAAGACCCAACATGTGGGAAAAAGCCTAGAAAACCAATCTCCCCTCTACAAAAGCCTGGTAGGACAAAATTGACCCTAGAAAACATCCTTCGCCTCTGCAGCTGGAGAAACCCATGCCCGCAGACCCATAGACAAAAATGGAGCCTAGAAACCGCCTCCCCCCTGCCAAAAGCCTTGGAAGGAAAACACTTGTGTCCCCGCGCATAGCCTGAAACACAACCATGGAAGAGCCCACAAAGAACCATCCTCCTTATCATCCAGCTGAAGGAGCACCATCGTCCCGCATCTGAGTTCAACCTAACAATAGGGACAGTCCCTACATCATAACACAACTCTTCCCCCCCCTCTTTGGCAGAGCCTTGGAGGAAAATACTATGCCGAGCCCACAGAAACCACCATGGAAAAGCCTGAGAACATCTCCTCTACAGCCCTGGCAGGACACAATGCACGCAGGCAGGCACCAAAGCAAATAGGAAGCCCTAATATACAGTCTCTATCCGCTCCTGCAAGCTGAGGACAGGGACATGGCCCGCGTGCAGCACCCTAACAATCTGTGAGCCCGTAGCACATCTCCCCTCCTCCGTGCAAAGGCTAGGAGAGTGACTATGGGGCCCCGCGCG